GCTGATCTTCCTCACACACACACACGAAAAAACCTACCTATGGCCCAGAAGTTTCACTCCAGGGTGTTTACCAATGAAAAATAAAAGCATGTGTCTACAAAAAGACTTGTGCAAGCATATTTGTAGAAGCTTTATTCAAGATAGCAAAATATTGTAAAGTGTCCAAGTGTCCATCAACAGGAGACTGGCCAAATAGACTACCATTCAGCAATAAAAAGGAATAAACTACTGATTCATGTAACAAAGTAGATGAATCTCAAAAACATTATACTGAGTGAAAGAAGCCAGACAGAAAATAGTACATACCATATGATTCCATTTATATGAAGCTCTAGAATAGACAAATCTAATCTCTGGTGAAAAAAATCAGATTAGTGGTGCCTCTCCAGTAGGGATGGATGTGGGAATTGCCTGGGAAAGGGCAGCAGAGAACTTTCTGGGGTGATGATAACAATGTATCTTAGTAGGGGTTTGGGTTAAACGCATTTGTAGGAATTTATCAAATGGTACACATAAGATTTGTGCATTTCATTTCATATAAATTTTAAAATTTACATAAAAATTTTAAAAGTACCATAAACGAATGTTGAACACTAGCTAATGATATCCAGCTAAAGTGTTTAGGGGTGAAATGCACTGATGCCTGCTATTTTGAAATGCATTAAAAAAATGTGAATTTATGGATGATAGATAGATACACATGTGATAAATCGAAGACAGCAAAATGTTAACTACAAAATTTAGGTGATAGGTATATGGGTGTTCATTATATAAGTCTTTTAACTGTTCTGTACATTTGAAAATTTTCATGAGTGAAGTATTGGGAAAAGGGACTGAATTGCAGGGAGACAAGAATGAAAGCACATGTAAGAGTCTATTGCAGTTTTCTACGTGAGAGATAATGAGCAAGTAGTGACCATGGAGATGAAAAGGAACAGAGAGATTTAAGATAGGTTTAGAGGCAGAATCTATGGGTCCACCTGTATATTGGATGTGAGTAATAACAGAAAGGAATCAAGAATAATTTCTGGGTTTCTGGCCTTATCCTCTGGGTGGATAGTGCTATTACTGAGAAGAATAGTAAAGGGAAGTAAAAAGTTCCATTTTGGTCTATGTTATAATTAAGGTCTCCCAACATCCACCCCCCCTTAATATTTTTAAGTGTAGATGTTAAGTAGGCAGTTGGACTCTTGAATTCAGAGGAAAAGACTTGCCTGTAAATATGAATTTGAGAGTTGACAGGATAGAGATGATATTTAAAGCCATGCAAATGGATGAAATAACCTAGGAAGCTAGTACATAGAGAAATTTGTCCAGAACTGAACTCTGAGGACTTTCAACATTTATAGATTGGGGAGAAAATGAAGAGACAGTAAAAGACACCAAGGAGGGCCTGTGAGGTTGGAGGAAAACCAGTTGAGTGTGGTGTCACAGGTACAAAATCTGTATCTATTACTGGCAAGGCTTTTCCAAAAAGTTGCTCATAATTTATATATGAATAAACATGAATGTGAAAGACAACCCTTGATAAAGATTATTATTATTTTTGTGTGTGTGAGGAAGATTAGCCCTGAGCTAACATCCGATGCCAACCCTCCTCTTTCTGCTGAGGAAGACCGGCCCCGGGCTAACATCGCTGCCCATTGTCCTCTACTTTATATGGGACGCCGCCACAGCATGGCTTTACCAGCATTGTGTCAGTCCGTGCCTGGGACCTGAAGCTGCGAAGCCCGGACTGCAGAAGTGGAGTGTGCGAACTTAACTGCTATGCCACCAGGCTGGCCCTGATAAAGATTATTTTTAAGTTGGGTGATAGGCTTATGAGATCATTTTATTATTTTTTATACCTTTCTGTATATTTTAAATATTCTGAGTATATTATTTATTTATTTATTTATTTATTTTTTGTGAGGAAGATCAGCCCTGAGCTAACATCCGTGCTAATCCTCCTCTTTTTGCTGAGGAAGACCGGCTCTGAGCTAACATCTATTGCCAATCCTCCTCCTTTTTTTTTTCCCCCCAAAGCCCCAGTAGATAGTTGTATGTCATAGTTGCACATCCTTCTAGTTGCTGTATGTGGGAGGGGCCTCAGCATGGCCGGAGAAGTGGTGCGTCAGTGCGCGCCAGGATCTGAACTGAGCCGCCAGTAGCGGAGCACGCGCACTGAACCGCTAAGCCACCCGACCGGCCCTGAGTATGTTATTTTTAAAGGTGGTTTTTCATATTCTACACATGTGCAATAATTTTTTTTTTTTACTGAGGAAGATTGACCCTGGGCTAACATCCGTGCCCATCATCCTCTACTTTATATGGGACGCTGCCACAGTTTGGCTTTACAAGTATTGCGTCAGTCTGCCCCTGGGATCTGAACCTGTGAACCCTGGGCTGCCAAAGCAAAGCACGAGAACCTAACTGTTATGCCACTGGGCTGGCCCCTGCAGTAAATTGTTTTTTAATTAAAAAAATTAAAAACTGGAAACATAAGGAAAGTGAATAGGAGTTGAAATTGGAGATAGCCTTAAAGGAAATTCTTTTTTTTGGAAGTATAATTGACATGCAATTTTATATTAGTTTCAAGTGTACAACCTAGTGATTTGACCTTTATATACATTATATGATCACCACAATATGTCTAGTTACCATCTGTCACCATATAAAGTTATTACAATATTATTGACTATATTCCCCATGCTGTACATTACATCCCCATGACTTATTTATTTTATAACTAGAAGTTTATACCTCTTGATCCCCTTCACCCATTTCACCTATCCGCAAACCTCCTCTCCTCTGGCAACCACCAGTTTGTTCTCTGTATCTATGAATCTGTTTCTATTTTGTTTTGTTTTTTAGATTCCACATATAAGTGAAATCACACAATATTTGTCTTTCTCTCTCTGTTATTTCACTTAGCATAGGTCCATCCACGTTGTTGGAAATGGCAAATTTCCTTCTTTTTATGGCTAATATTCCTTTGTATATATATGCTCCGTCTTCTTTATCCATTCATCTGTCAATGGACACAGGTTGCTTCCATATCTTGGCTATTGTAAACAATGCTGCAATGAACATAGGAGTGCATATATCTTTTTGTTTTTGTTTTTGTTTTTGTGAGGAAGATCAGCCCTGAGCTAACATCCACGCTAATCCTCCTCTTTTTGCTGAGGAAGACCGGCTCTGAGCTAACATCTATTGCCAATCCTCCTCCTTTTTTTCCCCAAAGCCCCAGTAGACAGTTGTATGTCATAGTTGCACATCCTTCTAGTTGCTGTATGTGGGATGCAGCCTCAGCATGGCCGGAGAAGCAGTGCGTCAGTGCGCACCCAGGATCCGAACCGGGCTGCCAGTAGCGGAGGGCACGCACTTAATCGCTAAGCCACGGGGCCAGACCTGCATATATCTTTTTGAATTAGTGCTTTTGTTTTTTTCAGATACGTACCCAGAAGTGGAATTGCTGAATCATATGGTAGTTCTATTTTTAATTTCTTTTTTTTTTCTTTTGTGAGGAAGATCAGCCCTGAGCTAACATCCATGCTAATCCTCCTCTTTTTTCTGAGGAAGACCGGCTCTGAGCTAACATCTGTTGCCTATCCTCCTCCTTTTTTTTTTTTCCCCAAAGCCCCAGTAGATAGTTGTAAGTCATAGTTGCACATCCTTCTAGTTGCTGTATGTGGGACGTGGCCTCAGCATGGCCAGAGAAGTGGTGCGTTGGTGCGCGCCCGGGATCTGAACCCCGGGCGCCCAGTAGTGGAGAGCACGCACTTAACCACTAAGCCACAGGCCGGCCCTATTTTTAATTTCTTAAGGAACCTTCATACTGTTTTCCATAGTGGCTGCCCCAATTTACATTCCCATCAACAGTATGCAAGTGTTGCCTTTTCTCCACATCCTAGCCAACACTTATTTCTTGTCTCTTTGATAATAGCCATCTGACAGGTATGAGGTGATAGCTCATTGTGGTTTTGATTTGCATTTCCCTTATAATTAGGGATTTTGAGCATCCTCTCATGTGCCTGTTGCCCATCTGTATGTTGAGAAAATTCTTTAAAGAAGTTTTGCTCTGGAGGATGGCCAAGAGAGGGATAGAGTAAGTTCCATCAAGGTAATATCTTTTAAAGATGGGAGATCCTGGCTTCATTAAAAGCCTAGGTGCAATCCAATAGCAAGGGCTAGATTGATGATACAAGAGAATGTGGGAGTAACTGAAGAAGCAATGCCCTTGAGAATGCTAGAGGCCTTGGAATCCCGAGTACAAGTAGGTGGATTGTCCCTTGATAGGAAGACCACTGTCCACTGTCGAAAAAAGAGGAAAGAGGTGGGCCAGCCCCAGTGGCCTACCCGTTAAGTTCCTCAGGCTCAGTCCAATTGGCGCCTGGTTTCCCACTGTGGACCTACACCACTCATCTGTCAGAGGCCATGCTGTGGTACAGCTCACAGACAAAAAGAGGAAGATTTGCAACAGATGTTAGCTCAGGGTGAAACTTCCTCAGCAAAAAAAAAAAAAAGTGGAAAGAGGTTATAAGATAGAAGTGGATATTGGTAGTTTTGCTGATTTAGTGGTAACATGATGAGGAGGTTCCTATCTGACAGCTTCTCTCAATGAATTTTCCAGAAAAAAGGAGGATGAGAGGTTTTCCAGAGAATGCAGAAGTCTGAAGGCTTAGAGGGGACCCTTGGGTTTGGGCAACTGCAAATGTTCTGTTCAAACTAAGAGCATGTGTTGGGTATGGGTTGGTGTGTCTGGAGACACGGCGGGAGCGTTTAGTCTGGGCCAGATTATAAAGACTCTCTGCTTTCCAAACCCTAAAGCAAGGGAGCACGGGCTCCTTCAACGCCTCCGCTGCCATGCGCCCCGCTCTACCCGGAGCGCGCGGGGCGTGGGCGGAGCCGCCGGCGCAGATCACTTAGGATCTCGGCGGGTCGGCGCATGCGTGCGGCGCCTCTCGGAGTCGCGCTCCTTTTACTTTTCGGTGTGGCTCCGAGTTCGCCTGATTTTGCCTGTTAATGGTTAGAACGGTCTGCGCGCCCAGGATGGAGCCGCTGGAGGACCTGGGCCGGCTGATAGAGAAGAGTTTCGGCGAGGAGGCTGTGCCGCCGGCAGAGCGGTGAGCGGAGCCGGGGGAGAGTCTGGGAACAAAGCGGGAGATTTGAAAGAAAGGAGCGGGAGAGGCGGCACCCACGCCTCGGCGGGCGGGGGCTGGGCACGCGGTGACCCGGCTCCGGTCCCGGCGCACCCGAAGAACCTCCGGAGCTGGGGTCTGTTTCACAGGGTCTTGGGGCCACGCTCAGGCCAGAGCCCAGCAGTTCATTCTTTCCCTTGATTTCACCTCTTTCTCGAATTTGAGGAGTTCCAGCCACCATAAATATCTTCATACAAGGACATTGGGACTGCTACATGCTTTTCTCGATGTTTAGTTGGAGAACTTATCCCAGGGAGAACTCTGCATCCTCAGCTCTGTGTAAATGGTCGGAGAAACTTGACCCACAATCATGGTGTGGGATTATTTTCCATAATAATAATGATGCTACTTATTGTTGACGGATCTTTGCGTTTTGGATTTTGATCAGCAATACTTTTTGGAAGATCCTAGCTGACCTTGGGAAATTCACGGCCTGAAGCTAGGTAGGGTAGGTGAATGAGGCGGTTAGAAAGTAATAGAACCTAGGGTTCGGTGACAGAGATAATTTTGGGGTAATGTGAAAGGCGTTTGGTGTTATAATTGGAGAGAGAGTGACTTCGGACCCTCTGTTGGACTATCACTGATAAAGACTTCCTGCTGTCAAACAGGAAAGATTTAAGAGAGACTCGGTGTTTTTTAGAGGAGAGATTATTTTGCATAGTTTTCAGGAGGCTAGGATCAATAGATAAAAGTATTGTGAAATTGACTTGCTCATTATAAATAAGAAATTTCTGAGTTACTCTCTGAGCTAATGTGACAGGTATTAAGTTTGCTTTCTCTACAAAGCAGGGGCTGGTTGATCCTCAATGAGATTATATAGAAGGATTTTCTACATTAAATAGTAGGTTGGACTAGATGATTTGTAAGTATGCTCCTAATTTAAAGATTAATATAATTCTGTGGCTCACAGTAGGACTTCCAGTGAACCACCCAAACTGTGCTTTTCCATAGCAAACATCTCTTTTATTTACAAAAAAGATAATATCCAAGACATTTCCTTTTACTTGTACTTTGAGAAGGTTTGCACCGGTGGTAGGAATTTGTTGTTTAGTGTTTTTCACTTTGTCCTTGATCCTCATAATCATGGATATCCCACAGAGCTCTTCATAGAGCTTATATTTGGAAAAATCTGTATCATAAGCATGTTTTAAATGGCATTGCTTCCGGGAAGTTTTTATAATAGGAATTCTGCTATGCCCTTGCTTTCTTAATTTTTACGTATTTTAGCCAAAGGTCATTATGATAAACTTTCCAGAAGAAACAAACCTAGATCTCTAGAAGGTTGGTTTGTAGATAAATGAGATTAGATGGCTTCTTATTTCTTGCTTGTGCTACATTAGTTTTGTGTGTGTATGCTTTAGATTTCAGAAGGTGGAAGCATCCTTTTCTAAAACAGTTCTGAGCAGAGGAATGGATAACCGGTACCTGGTGTTAGCAGTCCATATTGTACAGAATGAAGAGGGAAACCATGAAAAGCACCTAAGCATCACTGCTTCCCAGTCGCTAGAATGTGAAGAACTGTGCATCCTTAGGAATGACTGGTAATTTTTGTATAACTTTGAGCTGATCTAGTGGAGTCTTAAGGGTACCATCTTAAAACCCATCACATGGGCTTGTGTGAATGTTGCTATAATTTAATTGTTAATAAAGGGAGTAGATTTGAACCTGAATTAATTCTACATAAAAATTGTGCCTATTACCCCAGCATCTCAAGTTCGCTATCCCCCCTCCCCAAACTTGATTTTTATTGTCATTTGAAAATCAAGTTCAAAGGGACTTATTAAATGACTACTTCCTATTTCCCAGTACTTTGTTTTAAGATTGCAGCTTGAAATTCGTATTAGTTCTCACGGAGAGCAAAATTAATTACAGCATAAAAACATTCTTAAACCTTAGATTTCTCTACTCAAGCAAAGTATGGTACGTGAGGGGTGAAGGGGAGATGCATGGAAGGTGGAGGTCTGACTTTGTCCAGGCCCTTTGTTTAGGTTGCAAGGTAAATGGTTTGAACTAGATAAGTATGATTTTATTTTTGCTACATTGGGTTTGGCTTCATGCCTCAAGACTTACAGAAGCTGTCGATATCACTGCAAGTCTTAAGAATGAGAGAATTAATTATTAAAACAACGTAATTCTTAATTGGAGCTATATATTTCACCATTAAAGATTTGATAGCTTTTGCAGTAGACGATGCTGTAACACTAAGCAGTTTTCCTTTTTCGAATTTAAGGAAAACCCATGAGTTTTCAGGTGTATTTCAAAGGTGGAAAGGGGTAGAATGACTAAGGAGTTGATTCAGAGACTGCATCCTGGTATTTAATTTTTTTAAAAGACCCAGAAATTTAGAAATACTTATTTCTTCAGATAACATTTATTTTTTGAAGCTTCTTTAGTATGTTTAAATGTAAGAACCTGGGCCGGCCCTGTGGCTTGGTGGTTAAGTGTGCGCGCTGCGATGCTGGTGGCCCGGGTTCGGATCCCGGGTGCGCATCGAGGCACCGCTTCTCCGTTCATCCTGAGGCCGAGTCCCACATACAGCAACTAGAAGGATGTACAGCTACGAAGGATGTGCAGCTACGACGTACAACTACCCACTGGGGCTTTGGGGGGAAAAAATAAAATAAATAAAATCTTTAAAAAAAAAAAAATAAATGTAAGAACCTAAAATATGTATTTATACTTTCTTTGCTTTGTTTTTAGGTGCTCTGTACCAGTAGAGCCGGGGGACATCATCCATTTGGAGGGAGACTGCACATCTGATACTTGGATAATAGATGAAGATTTCGGATATTTGATCCTATACCCAGACATGTTGATTTCTGGCACAAGCATAGCCAGTAGTATTCGTTGTATGAGAAGAGCTGTCCTAAGTGAAACTTTTAGGGTGAATAATATTAACAGCTGATGTTTCTACAGGGTCTTAGAGTTCACAGAGCATTTTGACACTTTATTTAATCTCCCAGGGCCGGTTCCGTGGCTTGGCAGTTAAGTGCGCGCGCTCTGATGCTGGCGGCCCGGTGGATCCCGGGCGCGCCCCAGGGCACCGCTTCTCCGTCCAGCGCGAGGCCGAGTCCCACGTGCAGCAACTAGAAGGATGTGAACCTATGACATACAGCTATCTACTGGGGCTTTGGGGGGAAAAAATGAATAAATAAAATCTTTAAAAAAAAAAAAAAAATCTCCCAGCAGTCCTGTGAGGTAGATGGTATTAATCAGCTGCATTTTACAGATGACGAAAATCAGGCTCACAGAGGTTAGATGACTTGCCCAAAGTCAGGTAGCTAGTAAGTGGCAGTGCTGGGACTCAAGGCCAGATGCCTGAATCCTTTGAATCTTGTGAAACACTTAATAAAACAATTAATTCTAATGATTAAAATAATTAATTTAAGTGATAAAATCTTTTATTTGAAACATCTAGGCATTTCCAAACTTGGCTTCATGTATTCTCAATAAACTAAAAATAAATGTGACAGTCTCTTTTTAAAAAATTATTATGGAAAATTTCACACATACACAGAGATGATTATAATAAATCCTCATGTACCCATTCTGCAGTTCTCAAACGTTATATTATTTTGCAAGTAAATGAAAGCTGATGATTTTTTAAAAATATAAATACAGGGGCTGGCCTGGTGGTGCAAGTGGTTAAGTGTGTGCGCTCTGCTGCCGCGGCCCGGGGTTCACCGGTTTGGATCCCGGGCATGCACCGACACACTGCTTGTCGAGCCATGCTGTGGCAGCATCGCATATAAAGTAGAGGAAGATGGGCACGGATGTTAGCTCAGGGCCAATCGTCCTCAGCAAAAAGAGGAGGATTAGCATCAGATGTTAGCTTGGTGCTGATCTTCCTCACAAAATAAATAAATACAATATCTTTATCATATACAATAAAACTAACAGTAATTTCTTAAATTAATCTAATACCCAGTTTATCTCTTACATCTTTTATCAAAAATGTCGTTTTATTTCGTTGGTTGTTAGAATCAGTATCCAAACAAGGTCTATGTACTATGTTTGGTTAATACGTCTCAAGTTTCTTTCAATCTATAGTAGTTCTGCCTTCCACCCTTCCCCCCCTTTGTTTCAATGCCGTTTATTTGTTGAAGAACCTGGGTTTTTATTTGTTAAGTTTCCTATTCCTCCCAGAGTATTGTTTTAATTATACAGTTGATCTATATGTATGTATAAAACCAAAAATACAGCTGAGCAAGAAGAGAAAGAAGGAAAAATAGCTAAATAGATTGTCTAATAATCTTAATTGACACTTGTTTGTAGTTTATCAGCTTTTTTCTTCAGTTATGGGGAATACCAACTTTTCTTTTAACCACATAATTATAAAGCAGACCTGAATATTAATCTTTTAAAAACTTTTTATTTTGAAATAACTTTAGACTCACATAGAGCTTGCAAAAATATATACAGAGAGTTCCTCTGTAAATTAATTCTTAAAATTCCTGAGGGATGGTTTGGTGACCTTTAGTTTTTTGATAGCTGTAAGGGAGAAGTCTAGGCTAATTGATAAGTACTGTTTCTTTTAAGTGGAGAGAATTTTCTTGCCGAAAATCTCTGCTGTAAGTTTAAATTTAATGTTTGAATAATAGCTTTTACTTGCATGAGTTTATGAGCTATGCCTTTATTGGCCTTTCTATTTCGGTAGATTATAAAGTGAAATTAGAGATGAATATGTTAAATATTTGAGAATATGTTGAATTTTTTCATATTGGTTAATTTTTTTCAAAATGGGAATATACTGACTTTAAACACAACCTATACTTATAAAATAATTCAAGTAATTCTGAATAAAAGAAAGTGAAAGTCACCTATAATTCCACCCACCAGAAGGAAACATTGTTTAATATCTTGGCATTTGTCTTACTGGTGCCCTTTGGCTATTGGTTTAATATGTTAGGTGATAAATATATGATCATGGTTATTAATATGTTGTGAAATAAAACTTTTGTATTTTTTTTCATAGCGCTCTGATTCAGCCACACGCCAAATGCTGATTGGTACAGTTCTCCATGAAGTATTTCAAAAAGCAATAAGTGATAGCTTTGCCCCAGAAAAGCTACAAGAACTTGCTATTCAAACCATTCAAGAAATAAGGCATCTGAAAGAAATGTAAGTAGTTACAAGAGGAACTACAGGTACAATTTTATTTATATAACTTTTTTCCTAGAATCTGTAAGGTATTTGGCTATTAGACTATTCAATGTGAATTAGTGTAATATTGGAATGAAGATTCCAAGGTTGCAGTACCCCATTGCAGTTCTGTAAAGAGCTTCTGAAATTGTACAACAGAAGCTATTTGGCTAAAAATATCTAAATATTCTGTACATGTGCACAACAGACTCTTAGCTGCTCTCAGAGAGTGTGAAAACCTTTTTGCCTTATTTCTAGAAACAGTGTGACATACTGAAAATTGTATGGGTCTGGGAGTCAGGGGAACCTAGTTTCAAATTGTAGCTTTGTCAAAAGGTTTATGACTAAAGAAGTTACTTAAAGATTCTTTTTTCTTTTGAGGAAGCTCAGCCCTGAGCTAACATCCATGTCAATCCTCCTCTTTTTGCTGAGGAAGACCGGCTCTGAGCTAACATCTATTGCCAATCCTCCTCCTTTTTTTCCCCATTTTCTCCCCAAAGCCCCAGTAGATAGTTGTATGTCATAGTTGCACATCCTTCTAGTTGCTGTACGTGGGACGCCGCCTCAGCATGGCTGGACAAGCGGTGCATTGGTGTGCACTGGGATCCGAACCTGGGCCACCAGCAGTGGAGCATGCGCACTTAACTGCTAAGCCACAGGGCCAGCCCCTTAAAGATTCTTAAAAAGTTGATAGTCCCTATTTTGTAGACTTTTTGTGACAATGGAGATAATGTGTGTAAAACCACAAAGGGCTAGTCATGGGCTTTTTTTTTTTTTTGGTGAGAAAGATTTTCCCTGAGGTAACATCTGTGCCGGTCTTCCTCTATTTTGTGCGTGGGTCACCACCTCAGCATGGCTGATGAGTAGTGTAGGTCTGTGCGTGAGATCCAAACCTGCAAACCTGGGCCGCCGAAGCAGAGCACACCGAACTTAATCACTATGCCATGGGTCCAGCCCCTAATCATTGGCATTTTGTGAGTGACTACCTGCAGAGGGATTGGCATGCTCTGCTCTCTGTTTCTTCCTTGACTCCTACTGCAGTCCATCTTTTTTCACAGAAGTGTTTTTGTTAGTGGTGATTTTGATTTCCACACTAGTTGACATAAACCTATTTTTCCCAGATGTAATTCTGTGTTTCATTGTTTGTATGGGAAAGACATATTCCAAAATTCCATGCAACTGATTTACTAATGACAGATAATCTGTTGTCCTAAAAACATTTAGAACCCTGCCATATGCCAGACACTGTGTTAAATTCTTTTAGACACCTTATCTAATCTGATAGCAGCCTGTTATAAATGAAGAAACAGAAGCACAGAGTTATCACTTACTCATGACCACACAGCATAGCTCAGAGTATGAGAAGATTTAATAAAGTTTTTGCTTTAAAAGTTCCACTTATTGCATTATTTGCTACTTTACATTTCAAATTTTTACTTTTTTTGTCACACCCTAATCAGCATATGGTGATGCCTTATCTGTTGTGTATTGTATTGATTATTTATTGCCCTGAAACAAATCACATCAAAACTTAGTGGCTTAAAATGACAGACATCTATTATCTCACAGTTTCTGTAGGTCAGGAATTCAGAGGAGGCTGGGTGGTTCTGGCCCAGAGTCTCCCATGTGGGGCTGCAGTCATCTGAGGGCTTGACCGGGGTGTGAGGATCTGCTTCCAAGATGACGTACTCACATGGCTGTTGTGATAAGGCCTCAATTCCTGGCTGGCTATTGGCAGGAGGTTTCAGTTCCTTGACACGTGGGCCTCTTCACAGGGCTGCCTGATGTGTTGTCACGACATGTCAACTACTTTCTCCAGATTGGATGGTCCAAGAAAGAGAGCAAGCAGAAAGCCACAGTGCTTTTTATAACTTAGTCTCTGAAAGGAGTGACTAGGCACATGTGTATGGTGACAGATGGTAATTAGTCTTTGGGTGGTGAACATGATGTAATCTACACAGAAATTGAAATATAACGATGTAGGGCCGGCCCCGTGGCTTAACAGTTGAGTGCGCATGCTCCGCTGCTGGCGGCCCAGGTTTGGATCCCAGGCGCGCACCGATGCACTGCTTCTCCGGCCATGCTGAGGCCGCGTCCCACATACAGCAACTAGAAGGATGTGCAGCTATGACATACAACTATCTATTGGGGCTTTGGGGGAAAAAATAAATAAATAAGAAGTTAAAAAAGAGAAATATAATGATGTACACCTGAAATTTATGTACTGTTATAAACCAAAGTTACCTCAAAAAAAAATAGTTTGGAAAAAAAAAGTATAACCTAGTCTCTGAACTCATGCATTGTCACTTCTGGTTTGTTTGTTTGTTTAATTAATTAATTTGTGAGGAGGACTAGCCCTGAGGTAACGTTCAATGCCAATCTTCCTCTTTTTTGCTGAGCAAGATTGGCTCTGGGCTAACATCCGTGCCGATCTTCCTCTACTTTATATGGGATTCCGCCACAGCATGGCTTGACAAGCGGCATGTCGGTGCGCGCCTGGGATCCGGACCTGGGAACCCCAGGCCTCCGAAGCGGAGCGTGAGCACTTAACCACTTGCGCCACTGGGCCTGCCTCCCACTTCTGGTTTTTTTAATTCATTAGGTGCAAGTCACTAAGTCTAGCTCTCTCTCAAGTATAGAGAATTGGCTGCCATCTTTTTAAGGGGGTGTCAAAGAATTTGTGGACATATTTTAAACTACCACAGATATTCAGGTATCAGGCAACCTGATTAGTCTAGAATCCAGCTTGAATGCAAGGATGAAAGAAAACAAGATGTCTGAGAGCAGCCTTGCTCAGAATTCATGAGGTCCATGTATTAAACCTTGTGCACTTTACATAATGGAGTGTCTTTCATACTCTCAGCATCTCTTATTATTTTTCATTAATATCTAACAGTCTTAGTTATCTGGTTTCCAAGATGCAGCAGAGAGGCACCTTCCTAGTAACATAATATGAGAGCTGATGGTTTTATTACAGGAAAGAGGGAAGTATTTTTAAAAATATAAGACTGTGAAGGTCAGAATTTTGGAGGGAATGCATTTGTAGCAGATCCTTGGGTATCACTGAATTGTGTGATTGTTATTTACCATGATATTCTAAGTTATTAAGGGAAAATATGTTTCATTTCATAATTATGAAAATATTAATTCCCTCATAATTCTTGCCCATCCACAGTAATATCAATCCTGTTCAAGAGAATACTTTTTTAAATTCCTAAATCCTAAAATAACAGATTCAGAGTTCTTTTCCACCCTCTCTCATAGACCCTTCTCCCTTAGTACGGAGAAAGATCTGTTCAACTCTACCCTCTCATTATGTCGATAAAAGTCTAGGCCTGAAGATACTACCTTAATAATTGCTAAGTACCTTAATAATCTCAGGAAAGACCAGGCTATTACATGTCAGTTTTCTGTGAGTTGGCTAAAATTAAAAAGGGAGAATTTAAATGCAGAAGACATTAAATAACCAGTATAGACTGGTTTAGAAACTTTAAAAAGAGTGCTGGTCTGTAAAAAGTAAAAGACTGGGAAGAATCTGCCTAAGGAGATCATGACAATGAGGAATGGTTCCAGGATGGTTGGACAAATTTATTGAGGAAAAAGATTACCCAGTTGTGCAGGTTCTTTTTTTTAATAATAAATTATTCTTTCTTTTTTTTTTTTTTTTTATAATTTTATTTATTTATTTTTCCCCCACAGCCCCAGTAGATAGTTGTATGTCACAGTTGCACATCCTTCTAGTTGCTGGATGTGGGATGCGGCCTCAGCATGGCCGGAGAAGCGGTGTGTCGGTGCGCGCCCGGGATCCGAACCCCAGGCCGCCAGCAGCGGAGCGAGTGCACTTAACCGCTAAGCCACGGGGCCGGCCCCTAACTTATTATTTCTAAATAGGTTATAAATTCGTGCACACCATTAGTACACAGTAGTACATTCATGCACACCAGTAGTACAAGCGCACACCATCGTGTATTGTATTATATTTGTATTTGTATTATACAAGTAATAACTTGTATAATAACATGATGTTATTATAATAGTACAAGAAGGGGCCAGCCCCGTGGCTTAGCGGTTAAGTGCGCGTGCTCCACTGCTGGTGGCCCAGGTTCGGATCCCGGGCGCGTACCGACTCACCGCTTCTCCGGCCATGCTGAGGCCACGTCCCACATACAGCAACTGGAAGGATGTGCAACTATAACATACAACTATCTACTGGGGCTTTGGGGAAAAAAAAAAAATAGTACAAGAGGATACACAGTAAAAAGTAAGTCCTTTCTACCCGTATTCTTGTAGTTCTCAGTTCCTCTCCCTAGAGGCAACCACTGTTACAAGTTTCTTGTATGTCCTTCCACAGAGATTTCAAGCATTTATGTGTGGTAGTATGCATATATATTTATATTTTATTTTTTAGGTAGCATACCATACACATCATTGTGTATAAAGATTAAATCTTGGTGATTGTTCCATGTCAGTACTTATTGAGCTATCTCATTTTTAATTAATAGTGGTATAGTGTTTTATTGTATGGATGTACTGTAATTTATTTAAGTATCCCGTTGGCAGTTCAATTTTTGCTTTTATTAGCAATGCTATAATAAATACCTTTGATTATCCTTTATTTTCTACCTGTGCAGGCATATATCTGGGCTCAATACTTAAATGTGGAATTGTTGGGCCACAGGATATATGCATTAAAAAATCTTTTTATTTGGAAATAACTTCAAATTTAGAGAAAAGTTGCACGAGTAGTACAAGGAACATCCATATACTCTTTACTCAGATTCACTTATTATATGTGAGCGTGTTTGTGTAGATTCTCCTCCCAAGATTAAGTAATATACATCATGGTATACACAATGGGCTGTATATCAGTAGTATACATCATGATATATACAGATGGGCTGTATATCAGTAGTGTACATCATGGTATACACGATGGGCTGTATATACGAAGCCACTGGCCATAGAGCAGGCCGAGCAGA